GACTGAGGAATTCTGGGAGTTGAAGTCCACCCCTCTTAAACCAGACTTAGGAATTCTGGGACTTGAAGTCTATTCACCTTAAACCAGACTTAGGAATTCTGGGACTTGAAGTCTATTCACCTTAAACCAGACTTAGGAATTCTGGGAGTTGAAGTCCACCCCTCTTAAACCAGACTGAGGAATTCTGGGACTTGGAGTCCACCCCTCTTAAAGCAGCCATGGTCGAGACCCATGGCTCTCCTGGGCCATAACAAACTGGACTTTGGGGGGTATTCCCCCTCCCCGCCCTCCATCTCTCTCTCTCTCTCTCCCTCCCCACCCGCCCCCCAACTCCCTCAGCGCCTGCCTCCTGCTCTTTAATTCTTTTTCTGCCTCCTCCTCCCCCCCCCCGACAGAAAAATTGTAAGTAAAATAGATGGCGACCAAGACGGGTTTGTAACGGTGGAGGAGCTGAAAGCCTGGATTAAGTTTGCCCAGAAGCGCTGGATCTACGAGGACGTGGAGCGCCAGTGGAAGGGCCACGACCTCAACGGGGACAGCCTGATTTCGTGGGAGGAGTATAAGAACGCCACCTACGGCTACGTCTTAGGTAGGTCGGGCCCTTAAGCTGCCCCTCCTCCCCAGGCTCAACCTCGCCCCTCCCCCCCCTCCCCCCCCTTTTGTCTTGTAGCGCGATTGTGAGCAAAATAGACACGGATAAGGATGGGTTTGTGACTGAGGTGGAGCTGAAGGACTGGATTAAGAAGGCGCAGAAGAAGTACGTCTCTGAGAACGTAGCGCGCCAGTGGCAGGAGTATGACTTGGACCAAGATGGCTCCATCTCCTGGGAGGAGTACAGGAATGTCACCTATGGCACTTACCTGGGTAAGGGGCAAGCGGGGAGGGCGGGGGAGGAGGAGCAGCGGCCCTGCTGTCGAGCCAGAAAGGGGGGAGGCCGCGGGGGGGCTCGAAACGAGGCCGGAGGGGGGGGGGGGAAACGGGGCGGCGAAGCCTGCGGCGGGGGGGGGTGGGTCAGGCTGGATGACCTTTTAGGGACCCTTAGGACCGAGGGAGGGTCAAGTTGGGCTCCCCCCAGGCTTCCCGCTCTCCCCCCCCTTTTTTTTAAAGTCCAAAATGCAGAAGGCGCTCTAGGATTCAAACCCCGAGGCTGGTTAGGCTTCGCCTCTCAGGGGTGGCAAAGCTTGCGGGGGGGCTGGACGGGATGACCTCTTGAGGTCCCAGCTCTAGGATTCTGCAAAGGGCCGAAGGAGGGAGGGAGGGAGGGGGGCGGGTTGTCATGCCGGGGCCTATAGACCTGCTTTCAAGTCGAAGGCAGAATTCTGGGAGTCAAACTGAGGCTGGATTGTCGCCCTTTCAGAGATGGGTGGCGTGGGGTGGGGGGAGAAGCCTACAGGGGCTGGGCTGGATGGCCTCTTAGGGCCCCTTCCCAGCTTTAGGACTGCGCAAAAGGGCTGAGGGGCGGTCATGCCGGGCCCGCTTCCTGCTCACCCTTTCAAGGTCGAACACAGAACTCGGAGGAGTCAAACCGAGTCCACAGGCTTAAAGTTCATTAGCATGTGGGCCAGGGAATTCTGGGAGTTGAAGTCCACGCATTTTCAAGCATGGCTGGCCAGGGAATTCTGGGAGTTGAAGTCCACGCATTTTCAAGCATGGCTGGCCAGGGAATTCTGGGAGTTGAAGTCCACAGGCTTAAGTTCATTAGCATGTGGGCCGGGGAGTTCTGGGAGTTGAAGTCCACGCCTCTTTAAGCATGGCTGGCCAGGGAATTCTGGGAGTTGAAGTCCACAGGCTTAAGTTTATTAGTATGTGGGCCAGGGAATTCTGGGAGTTGAAGTCCACGCCTCTTTAAACATGGCTGGCCAGGGAATTCTGGGAGTTGAAGTCCCCGCCTCTTCCAAAGGCAGAAGTTGGAAAACGCAGCCGTAGAGAGCGTTTGTGTGCAGCTGCCAACGTCATTTTAAAGGCAGCGCCTGCTTTTGCTTTTACGAAGAGCTTTCGGGGAGCGGTTGCTTTTCAGCCAGGCTCTGCTTGCTCGGCCTTGGCTGTCCTTGAGCCCAGCTGCACGATGTCCATTTTATCACTAAGGGCAGATTAAACCACGTTCTTGACCTGACTTTGGCGAGGTCACATAACCAGGCATGGCAAACAGCATGCACTCCCCGAGGAGCCGCCACCCCAAAGCAGATAAACGTGGAAAGCAATTTTTTTCCAGTCCCAAAGGTGCTTTTTTTGTTTCAAGAGGCAACTGCACTTTCTTGTTTTTTTCTTTTCTTCTGAAGATGTTTCGCTTCTCCTCCAAGAAGCTTCTTCAGCTATTGACTAGAGGGTGGAGAAACGGAAGGATTGATACTCCTTGCGGACAGCTGGTCATTTGCATCCTTTTAGAGAGTCGTTGAGGCCACTTGGAGGCTTCTCCGTGTCCTCAGAGTCACACCTGAGTGGGGCAAATGGGTGTGGCGCCTTCTGACCGGATGGTGGGGAATGGAAGGATTGATATTCCTTGCAGATAGCTGGTCATTTGCATCCTTTTAAAGGGTCTTTAAGGCCACTTGGGGGTTTCTCTGTGTCCTCAGGGTCACCTGAGTGGTGCAAATGGGTGTGGAGCCTTCCTACTGGATGGTGGGGAAGGAAGGATTGATACTCCTTGCAGACAGCTGGTCATTTGCATCCTTTCAGAGGGTCGTTGAGGCCACTTGGAGGCTTCTCCGTGTCTTCAGGGTCACACCTGAGTGGGGCAAATGGGTGTGGCGCCTTCTGACCGGATGGTGGGGAATGGAAGGATTGATATTCCTTGCAGATAGCTGGTCATTTGCACCCTTTCAGAGGGTCGTTGAGGCCACTTGCAGGTGTGTCCGTGTCCTCAGGGTCACCTGAGAGGTGCAAATGAGTGTGGAGCCTTCTTGGAATTGCACACTCCTTTTCCTCCACACCCATTCACACCACTCAGGTGACCCTGAGGACACAGACGAACCTCCAAGTGGTCCCAACGACTCTATAAAGGGATGCAAACGACCAGCCGTCTGCAAGGAGTATCAATCCTTCCCATTTCCCCACCATCCAGTCAGAGCCGAAGAAGCTTCTCGGAGGAGAAGCGAAACGTCCTCAAAAGAAAGTCTAGTTGCCTCCTGAAAAAAAAAAGGAAACTTTAGGACAACCTGGCGGACGGCGAATCTCTACAGACGATTTTTCCACATAACCCCCAAACCCCTGAAAGTTGACCCCGGTGTCCTCGTCGAGCAAAGATCTCCACGCTTCCCGATTCTAGAACACGGAAGCCGGCAAAGCAGCCCCCGCTGATTGCGCTGCCAGGCAGGCAGTCCTTTGACTTACGACGTCCTTCATCGTCATAAGTCGAGGACGGCCTGAACTTTGGGCTTGGGACCACACCTGGGACGTGGCCAGGTTTGGGCTGCTGTGTATGGTCAAAGTTGATGGTTGCATAAGTCGCCCGTCGGTAACAACCCCACCTCTGCCGTTCAGACGATCCGGACCCCGACGACGGCTTCAATTACAAGCAGATGATGGTGAGGGACGAACGGCGCTTCAAAATGGCCGACCAGGATGGAGACCTGCTGGCGACCAAGGAGGAATTCACAGCTTTCCTGCACCCCGAAGAATACGACTACATGAAGGACATCGTCGTGCAGGTGGGTGGCTTTAACCTAGCGACGCGTCGCAGGCGGTCCCCGACTTAACGACCCCAATGGAGCCCCAGATTTCTGTGGCTGAGCCAGATGTTTGCTAAGAGAGTTTTGCCCCGTTTTACGACCGGGCTGAGGGAGACATTTGCTAAGAGAGTTTTGCCCCGCTTTATGACTGGGGTTAAGTCCATCCCGGCAGTTCTTAACAGGTTGTTCAGTGAATCGGATTCCCCCTGGTTGACTTACTTGTCAGAAAGGTTGCAAAGAGGGTTTGAGTGATCCCGGGATGCTGCGACCGTCGTAAATATGAGTCATCCAAGCATCCAGATTTGGATCATGTGATCGTGGGGAGGTTGCAACGGTCATCAGTGTGAAAAAGGCCACGTGTCTCTTTTTCCAATGCCATTGTCACTGAATCGTTGCCAAACGGAACTGTTCTAAGTCGAGGACTGTATTTATCATTTGGTTTTGATATATTTCACTTCCTGATGTTTCTCTGCTGTCAAATCCTGGAGGAGGCTCTCTGCTCCTAGGGTCCAAATACACCTCATGGTGTTGTGGCCCGCCAGTGGCCAGCGGAGCTGAGGGGAGGAGAGTCGGACAGTGGGGAGGATTATGGGCCAGTCCTGGAGTCTGGGGAAGGCTCGCTGATGAGGGCTCTGCATTGGAGGCAGGGATGGGGCCAGGGCCATCCGACAGTTATCAGCTGCCTTTGGAGTTGGAGATCAGTGGGGAAGAAGAACAGCTGGAGCCTGTTCCCAGTGTGCGCATGCACAGAACTGCCAGACGAAGGGAACAGCTAAGGAACACGAGGCAGAGATGGGGCCAACTGGGTGACTTTGGGCCAATCACGAGGAGACAGGGAGTTCTATTCCCGCCTCAGGCATGAAAGCCAACTGGGTGACTTAGGGCCAATCACTAGGAGACTCGGAGTTCTAGTCCCGCCTTAGGCATGAAAGCCAACTGGGTGACTTTGGGCCAATCACTAGGAGACTGGGAGTTCTAGTCCTGCCGTAGGCATGAAAGCCAACTGGGTGACTTCGGGCCAATCACTAGGAGACAATGAGTTCTAGTCCCGCCTTAGCCACGAAAGCCAACTGGCTGACTTTGGGCCAATCACCAGGAGACGGTGAGTTCTAGTCCCGCCTTAGGCATGCCAGCCAACTGGGTGACTTTGGGCCAGTCCCTCTGTTTCAATCTGACCCACCTCACAGGGTTGTCGTTGTGGGGAAAATAGGAAGATTCGATCTGTTAGCTGCCTTGAGCTGTTTATAATAAAATTGGGAAATAAAATAATTAACGCTGCCCCCTGATTTTTTTTCCCTCTACAGGAAACCATGGAGGATATTGATAAGAACGGAGACGGCTTCATTAATTTGGAAGAATACATAGGTGAGTCGTGGCCAGATCCTGCCTTTCATTCGCTCATGCCCCGTGTTCCCCTGGGGGTGTCTCCATTGAAACATTTGGAAATGTCCCGGGTTGGCACCCAACTGGATGATCAAACGGGGTCACCGATCTAGTCCTCGACTTAACAACTGTTCATTTAGCGACTGAAGTTACAACGG